AAGGACCCAAGACCTCAAGTTGAATAGTCTTTCAGGAAACTGAGGCTCTCATTTTCATGGAAATGATGATGAAATTTGCATTTATTAAAGGATTTAATTGAAAAAAATGTTAAAAGAGCTAATGTAAAAATATTAAAGGATTTAATGCAAAAATATTGAAAAGGGTGAACCCACCTGTCAAATTAATAAATCTTGGACCCATTTCCTTGGACAATAAGGACTAGGAAGTGATCTTCCTTCCACTGCTGCATTTCCGTAGATGATAGGATAATAGCACCCTAAAACTGATGAGCTGAACATGAAGCAGGGAGGTCTGGTAACCTATAGAAAAGAAGGAAAATGAGATAGTAATAAATACTATGAAGAAGAAATAAACTTCGTACTAAAGATCTTTAGCTTCTTTTCATGCAAACTCAATTTTATAAGAGTTTGTACTGAGGTATCTTAAGAGTTTCAATGCCACATTGCAACCCACTAGCTATAACTCTAGCAAGAGCTTGAGATCAGTTTAACAACTAATGCTATAAAAGAATGAAAGAACCTATATTCTCATGAGATCCATAGGGAAAACAGCCACACTAGGAAAACAAAACAGAAACACATGCAGAGTTGGTATGGTAACCAAAATTTCTGAACTAAACAAATATCAGGGCAAAATCTGGCAATAAGACAAACATTTGAAGCAAAGACTAACTTGGTATTCCAGAAGATATGGTGGCTAAAGAATAAAAGATTTTAAGAGCAAAAGTGTCCTATTAATAGTCAATGCAAAGTGTCAGTCCAAGAAGAAGCAGCATTCTGATGGTCAGGATTGCTCCTGTGAGGGAAATTTTCATGCTCTGTCTGTCCTCGCTTCCTTCCTAGAACATTTGTTAAAAGCCTAAGCTTGCAGGGCATTGGGACTAGAACAAAGATATAGCTCTGTGGAAGAGAGAGATTTATAAGAAAATGATTTTAAGAGAGCATGATATCCACAACAGTAGGAAAAGACACAATGCAGAGACAAGAGCTGCTAATTGCCTGGAGGAAAGGACAGTGAGGGAAGATTTGCAAAAGTGTGTAATAAGCAAATTGTATTGTAAAGGAAAAGTGACTCTCATGGAAAAAGAACTTAAAAGACTTTTCACTTGCTAGCTACCTCAGATAAGTTATATTACCATAGCTCAACAGTATAAAATATCTCAATGGTATAAAAGTTCAGTTACTACCTGTATAAGATTAAGGCTTATTCTGCTCATTAGAACTACACTTTACCAGCTGTGCATGAGTGGTTCATGCCTATAATCCTAGCTAGTTAGGAGGCTGAGATAGGGAAGATTGCAGTTCCAGGCCAATCAGAGCATAAAAAGTTCATGAGACCCCATCTCAACCAATAGCTGGGCACAATGATGCATATCTATCATCTCAGCTATGTGGGAAGACGAGACGGGGAGGATCCTGGTTCCAGGCCAGCCCAGGACAAAAAAAAAAAAAAAAGTCAGCAAGACCCTATTTCAGTGGAAAAAAACTGGGTGTGGTGTTACACAGGAAGCTTAAAATAGGAGAATCATGGTCCAGGCCAACCTGGGCAAAAAGCAAGGCACTTTCTCCAAAATAACCAGAGTAAAAAGGGCTGGAGGTGTGGCTCAAGTGGTAGAGTACCTGCCTCACAAGCACAAAGCTCTCAGTTCAAAACCCAGTACTATTAAAGCAATAAAAATAATAAGAAAAACTAAAAAGCTATACTTTGCCAGCCTTGAGTTTATAGTTCCCAAACTCTTCATAAAGTCTGGATGAAATCCATTAGGGTAGCTTTAATATAAATTCAGAATTTGACTCATTATCCTTAAATTTTGAGTAAGTATATTCCTTTTTACATGGAACCTTAATTTATTTAGCCAGTCAATACAGTTGTTCAGGTACACGTGCTAATTCGGTTCTAATTTAGAATGAAAGTATAAATTGTGACTTTTGAATTTTTTCTTCTTGCTTTTTACTTTTCATAATAATTTTATATAACAATGAAGTTTGAGTTCAGTTTTATGCTGTACCACTGACATAACTAATCTAATTGGTAAAGATTTATGACAATATTAGGTTGCTTTTATACCTTTCAAAGTAACCAGTAATTTTTAAACTATGCTACTGATAACTTAGGCAATGAGTTCTCACATCCCAATCTATTATTTTCTTAAAACTTTAGAGAGTTTATATGCTCAAATTGTTCCTCAATTTGGGCATATAAAGAAATGCAGAGTTCAAGTATTGGTAATTTTGCTGTCTAACAATATTGTCTTTTAATTAGATAAGTACATTTATGCTTATTATTCTCAAAAACCCTACAAATGACAAGAGACACAGAATTAGCCCCAGAATTACTATGCCTATTATGACAGTATTAGTTATATAAAATAAAAACTAAAAGCAAAAGGATTCACTTTTTTTCGCTTTTTATTCTCCTATGACAGAAGCATTCTGCCTGTACCTCTTTAGAAACAGACATGTCTATCAAAAAATTAAAATTTATCAAATGTTTAAATTGCTGTAGTTTGACAGTTGCAGATTTTCAAGTTAACCAATTATTTGATGAGATATATCTATTTACAAAGTACTTAAGGTAGACTGAACTAATTTTATGGCAAAATAGCATCACTCTTTATCAAATGGTCCGTGTAACCATTTTTATATGACTTTAAAGTTATTATCTGAATCAGTGTGCAAACAAAAGAAATGACCCAAATAATATATGCACATGTGAATAAAAATAATAATAATAATAATAAAAACAGATACATGTTTTAAACAAGAAGCAACTCTACCCTGTCTTTGGGGAAAAAAATTAACTCTACTTTCTAAAGCCATTTCCTTGGAGGGGGTGGAGCTGCAGGTAAAGAGCTACCTCTGTGTCTGCAGGGACTGGGGAGCCTGGATAAAACCAAATAGGAGGACTTATCCCTCATTTCCTTTTCCCCGACATTTTTACCCAGGTGAAACAAAGTTAAAGTTGGCATTATGGCAATAACAAGAAATTATAAACATCCAGTTCTCTAGGACTTAAGAGAACACACGTCTTCTTTGTTAAACATTAGGGAGCGATGATATGTTAGGTTGGTTGAGTACCAATCTCAGGATACTTTTATATACATATATGTATGAATGTGCACTACCTCATTATCGTTCTGACTCACCACCCTATAACTGGTTATAGCTGAAGAGAACTCAGAAAGTATAAGACTCGAAGTGTTCTAATTTTCCCATTCTCAGAGAAATCTCTTTGTGTTATGATAGCCTGTGATTTGTAGACAAGAAGAGTGAGACACTAGTTTTAGAGTCAGATAAAAGATACAGAGTCCGGATGACTTATATTGGTGGTAAGTGTGGGATAAAAACTAAGCAATCCTAAAAATTACCTGGATTTGAGTTTCAATTGACACTGATCATTGTTTTGATATAAAAAGTCTCAATGTTTGATTTTCACTTCAATGTTTTTAGTCATGTCAATAAAACCTAGAGCTATCCAGCTACTGAGATATTTAAATAGTATTTCTTGCTAAGAGTATCTTAGTTTCACAATGTTCTCTTGGAGAAATGTAGCACTTAACATCTAGCATAAACTCATTAGGACACTTCTTGGTCCTGGACCACATTCCAGGAGTTTAAACTGATATTGTGTACATTTATTTGATATATTTCTTAGATTCTCTCATTATATAAAACATAACTATAATAAGGTATGCTTTAGTTTGTTTTACTTTCAAAGTTGACATCTCATGTTCTTTTCAATAGTAGAGCAGTTTGTACAAGAATTATACACACTAATGGTAGGAAACTAAATTTCCAAAGGTTCAAAGGAAGGAAGAATTATATCTCCATTTCGGGGACTATTTCCATTTAGCCTTCATGTGAATTTTTCCTCTGCTTGATACAATACATCCACTATAAGATTTTTTTTTATAATCAAAGCCCCGTTTTTTTGCAAAAATACCATTAATATCAGGATCTTTAATTGCAAAAGTACATTCAAGTTAATAGATCAGTAGGTCTATTTATTGTTTGTATTTTTTATAGTACAGGCTATTTCATATTTACTGGCATTATTTTGAGAACAAATCAGGTGAAAAGTGGCCTCTGAAGTTTGCACTGTAAAATCAAGCATCAAAAATAAGTTATCTCAATCTGATTATCTTTGCCCCCAAATCACTCACCAGCTAAGCTCCAAGGTATAAATAATTGAATACTTAAAGAAAATAAAAATAAAATGTTAAACGCTGATTATAAATGATACTTCAGAAAAGAAATCAGCCTGTCATCTCCAGAGAAGCAAGGAAGTACTTAGATAATTTGTTTATCCTATTATATAAAGTTCTAAAGTTGGGAAAATATGAAAATACCTTCCACTAGGCACAACACAGTATTGGTTTAGCATACCTAACTCTATAATCTAAAATGCTCCAAAATCAATTTGTTTTTGAGTCTCATGTTGGTATTTAAAAAGTTTTAAATTTTGGGTCATTTCAGTTTCCAGAATTGTGAGTAGCAAAAGCTAGGCCAGTAAAGTAGGCAAATATTCCAAAATCTGAAAAAATATGAAACACTTCAGGTCCCAAGCATTTTGGATAGGGATACTGAACCTGTTCTCAAATTTTAATTTTATCTGCATTTTTATTTAATCAGGCTATTTGAAATGTATTTTATATATTCAACTACTGTATAACAAATCATGAATAAATTACTAAATTTTCATATTCTACAGAATATTTTTGTCATTCCTTGCATTCCATGGCTATGGCCAACAAAAGCTTGTTCTCTAGCTCTTATTTGTAAGCATGTCATGCAACTCAATTGATTTGTTTCATGTACAAAAACCTTCCTGGTTTCTTCACAAGCTTCTAACCATTGCACAAAACAAGAAGAGGAAAAAAGTGCTTGAACTTTCCATATTACAAGCAAAATGCTTGCAAGAGAAACAAAGGCATGCTTCTCAAAACTCTAAAATAATATTGCTTATGGTCTCTCTGCAGCTAGACCCCGAAGCTAGCACTATTCTAAAAGAGCTTCAAGTTAAACTCAATGGAGTTCTGGATGAGCTCAGCATCACTTATGGTGAAAGGTAAGTGGTTTAAGTAGTTATTATCTAAATAACATTAATAGCTTTGTTTACATCTCAATGCTGTTACTCTGACTGGCTAAATCCATTTAACTTTAAGACCTGATCTAAGAATCATATCCTCTGAAAAGTCTTTCATAAACCCATGGTTTAAAAGTGATGTCAGGCTGCACACTCCCTAGAGCTCTGCACCTCCCCCATCCCACTGACACCCCATCCCCCAGGCAGGACCTGTCCTGCCTGCCTGCTCTCTGTTTCTGTTTTTAAAAATGACATTTTTTTGGTTTAACATAGCTATACAGGGTGTTTCACTATAACATTTCCATGTGTATATGCATTATAACCTGAGTTGGTTCATCTACTCTGTTTTTCTTCTTTCTACTGTATTCCCTTTCTTATGGTGATTTTAAAAGGTTTAAAAATTCTGTATTCATTCTTGTATAGGAAGTACAACAACCATATTCACCTTCTTAACTTCCTTCTTTTACCTTCCCTCTCATGTATGTGACCTCTCCTTAGTGTGACCTCTTCTTCATAATGTTGCTTGTATTTATATTGTAGAACAAAGAGATCTGATTGATACTACCTCATGGGCAGGGGTTTGGAAAATACTGACATACCTACATTTTTTTCTTTTTTTAAAAAAGTCAACTTGGCTTCACTATGAAATAGTGCTAAAGAAATAGAAGTTCACCCTAGATAAACCTTGTTGGGTTCCTATAAGGAAAACTATCATTTCATTGTCAAGTGTTAAAATAGGAAATGAAAAATACATCTTTGAAGAGATTCATTAGTTTAATATGGAATTTGTTCTATTTGGACAATAACGACATCAATTTAACAATATTGACATCAATTAAAACCACGTGTTCAGTTCTCCAATAATACTATTAAGAACTGCACTTAAGGTAGGGACTATCTCTTTGAACACTACTCATCACATATTGTATGCTAGAAAGATTAAAAATTGATAAATATTGTTACTGATACTTTTGATCAAAAAGATTATAAAGATACTTCAAGAGTCATATTTGTTCTCAAGTATAAGAATAAAGCAGAGAAAAGAAAAATCCCATGCTTGACTCTTAGATGTATGTTCTCAATCCCTCCCTTAAACCAAGTGGCACCATCTTTATGGAACCCAACTTCGCAGCTCAGGCACTGAGTTGGAATAGCCTTGCTTTATTGAGCTTAGGGCAGTTGCCCTGCCTCTGCTTCATGTTGTCAGTTGATCTGCATGATTCTGCTTAGCTGGCTTGAATTTTAATCAGCAATTTGAAGGTTCTATTTACCTGGAGTTAGAGAGGTAGAAGTTGTTCCAAAGATGTGGGGGTTCACTGGCTCTGACTTGAGATGACACTTAGTGATTCAATCAGTTCAGATTTGCTTCAGTTCTAGTTATGTTTTAATGTGTGGTCAGCAAAAAGGATGGTTGCCTTCAGCTATGAAGGCAATAAGACAGATTATTTAGCAAAGTTAAGGGGAGAAAAAAGGGGCCAGGAATAGCTAGAAGTGTTCAGAACTTTATGGGAAATAAGATGGCTAAACAGAATAGAAACTAGCATATATATTTAAACTACTTTCTGTAAAATATCTACACCATCTTGATGAGTCAAGTGCTTTTGTTTTGTAGGGAGGAATACTCAGGTTACAAAAGGTAAAATATGAATTCTGATTTGAAAAACTCAGGATAAACTCCAATTATAATGGAAGGAATAATGCCATTAGGAGGGTCCTTGCTTTATTTAGCAAGACCAGATATTTTAGCATAGATAGTAAAACCTAAGACTACACAGGATCCATTTCTTCATTATTTTTTAAATGTAGGAAAGAACTTGGTACTTTGTTCAATTATAGTCATTCAGATTGCTAGAGTAAACAGGCTACATGTCGTGCTTCCCTTATAAGAACAAAAATTATTATATCCTGTTGCTATGATACATCACACACAGGGTGGGTGACATGATCAGTGCGATTGTGTTGCAAAGTCAAAGTAGTAACTTTAATCTGATCCTATTCTTCTTAGATTCTAAATTAGCAAACTAGAGCTTTAGAAATAAGTACATAATTAATTCCAAAAGTCAACTTGATTTTGTGTTATTTAAAAAAACACTAATTCTCCTATTTTCAGTTCTTAGGTTGACTTTGTAGTAAATCCAGAACAAAACCACAGATTTGAAACCTGCCTTCTTGAGTTCCTGACTGCTCACAGGTCACCTACCTGGAAATTAATATATTCAAGATGTTCTTACAGATGGATTTAAAAATCTCAAAAACTTGTGCCACTCAGATTCTGCTTATACACATATTTTTTACTTTGGTTTTTGACCTACTATATTTCTTTTACCAGTATGTTTAGTGCCAGAGCTGACTGGATTAAATAAATGAAGAATTCAGAACTATTGCATAGGAATTTCTTTGTGAGTGTTTGGCTCCTTGGATTCCTAAAAAGTCTATGTGACTTTTTTAATGGTGTGACTTTTATTGAAGCTAATAAAGACTTTTTCAACCAAAAAAAAGTGGTTAGAAAAATAAAAGCTTCTTAGGTGAATTACTAAAAATTGATAGAGACAAAAGATTAGTAGAAGACAAAATAGAGACAAAAGGTGAGGTCTAGCTGTTGGTTTACCCTGGACTCAGACAAAAGTAGAATTCCATTTTCCATTGTTCACTGAGAACACTTCTTCCATGAGCCTGATTCAAGGTCAAGGATTTGAATCTGCTGAATGAAAGCTTGGAAGTGCTTATTCCATTGAACCAGATAAATATAAAGAATTAAGAAATGAGCCACATCAGTAGGGGTCACTGAGATCCAAGGATCAGGAAACCAAACACAAAAAGTCTAAAGAGGGGAGAATGGTATGTTAAGCAGTAAAGAAAACCAAGAAGTCAGGAGCCAAAGACTAAGAGAGGCCAAACATAATAGTAGAAGTAGAATCAGGGCTTGAACGTATCCCAAAATCACTGGTCAATGTGTTTGTAAGCCTGCTATTAAAGAGCTAGGAACAAGAAAAATACCCAAGTTGAGATTATTTAAGCCCACTGAAGATTTTTACATACTGGGTGAAACCAAAAACTTTAAAGATGAAATACTTCACAAAGGCTAACCTTTCCATAATGTAAATACTAAAATACAAGTTCTCAGATGTGCTGCAAGAACAAGAAGTTGTGCCTGTTTTGTTCATTGATGCATTCTCAGTTATCTAGAATGGTAATGGGCACATATTTTTAAAATATTCATGCAATGCATATATATGAAAAAATATATTCTTTTCAATGCATAATACAAGCATTATGTAGTGAAAATTCTTACGCCCCTATATAAAATTTGAGTAATTAATGCATTCGGATATTTTCCAAATAACATTAACTGTGCAGTCATTGTGAGAGAGCAGAATGATACTGGCTTGATTTCAATACTGAAATGAGTAGCCTCCTTCTCCTCATTACCATTCCAATGATTAGACCATTTCCTATCATTCTCCTATGTGGTTTTTCCATGCCTGCAAGTACTGTGTTGCAATTACTCCTATTGTTGGGAATATTAAAATATTTTGTGGAACATCTTAGTAGTGATGCTAAGAGTCTCCACTATTTAAATCTCTTGCTATTTGCCACTGCGTAGGTAAGAACCACCAAAACTGGTGCTGGAGATACAGAGAATGTAGAAAGACAACACAAAAGATTACTCTTCACAGATATATTTGAATCCTTCAAGTGGTGAGGCAATAGACAAGAGGACAGGGATGACCCATTGGTAAATTCAACCAATATTTCCTCTTTAATAGCTTTATGGTGATATCATTGATACACAAAATCGTGTATATTTGAAGTGCACAACTTGATGTTCTGATATATGCCTACATTATGTAGTGATCACCACATCCTCTACAGAGTTGCCATTTGTGTACATGATGAAAATCTAATCTAAGATCTATTCTCTTTGCAATTTTAAATACACTTAGTATTTCTTGACCAATTTCTTTGTATCATGTGTAGCACCTTGTGCCAAGGTGTGGACATGTAGTAATAAGCAAAGTCCCTGCTTTTATGAAGCTTCTATTCTAGTGGGGGGGAGGTAATAAATAAATTAAATGTGTATAGTGTGTCAAATTATGGACAGTACAGTTAAGAAAAAAAGAAAAATGGTTAGGGAGTGGAGAATGATAGGAATATCATTTCAGTTTGAGTGTTCAAGGAAGACTTCTCTGAGGTGACCTTTGACATATTACCCAAACAAATGAGAGACCAAGAGAGCCATGATAATTTCCATGGCTGAGGGACATAATAGTGGCATTAAGGTAAATACATCCTTAGAGCTTTCCAAGACCACCAAGGAGACGATGGTGTCTGGACTACAGTGAAGCTGAGAATATAGCAGCAAGAGTGTCATCACTGAGATCACCTAACCAGCTTCTCTTGGCTGTTATAGTCCATGAATACTTCTAGATTTTGTTATAATTGGATTTGGAAGCTATTGAAGATTTTTAACAAAGAAGGAACATGATCTGGTATCTATTTTAAAAGGATATCTGTACAAAGTTGAACATAGAGACAATTAGGAAATTATTGCACAAGTTCAGATGAAAGATAGTGATTGGTTGGTCTAGGGGTACATTTTGTAAGTAGTAAGTCCTTAGACTTGGGATACTTTAAAAAAGTTTGCTGATGGCTCTGATGTTGGGTACAAAGGACTCATTAGACTTCCAAATGCAAAGGTTATACAGTTAGTTTAATAAAGTATTCTGAAATTTGGAGTATAAGTCATATCTGCATATGTGAATTGTGAAATTACTGTACAAAGTTGTATGGAAGCCATGTGACCAGTTGTGATTGCTAAGGAAGTGATTGTTGACAGAGAGTGGTCCAAGGATCAATCCCAGAATACTACAATGTAGGGTAGTCAGATAAAATAGAGTTAAATTTGAATTTCACATAAACAGTAAATAATTTTAGTGTATTTCCCCCAATATTATGTGGATGTACTTATACTAAACAATATTTACTGTCTGCAATTCAAATTGGACTAGGCACTCTATTTTTACTCATATTTATGGCAACTCTACTCCAACAGAGGCCAGATAATTGAGGAAGAGCCTCCAGTGAGGCTGGCAGAGAGCAAGAGGGTGTGGAGTCGCAGAAGCCAAGTGAAGAGTAGATCCTGACAGTCTTTCTGGATCAGTCATTTCTCTAAACAATACCCAGAAAAGCATTCCAGCTCTTACTGTCGGAGATGGAGGCTGAATTTGTGCCCACTCACATTGCTTCACCCTGAACAGTAACACTATTGTTTTTCTTGCATGCAAGCATTGCAAGTCAGATTTCATCACAACAAAATGTTTTGTACTTTAAGTTTGAAGACTAGTGAACAAGGGAACTCATATCATTTGAAACACATCAAAGTCCTTAGGGTAGAATTCAAACAGACTCAAGCAAACTGTTTTTTTTATGCTAGAATTTATATTCTTTATTTTCAGTTTCCAGCTTATAATTGAAGAGTGTATAAAGCAGATGAGTTTTGAACTAAATCAAATGAGAGCAAATGGAAATAATGTGTCTAATAAAAACAGTGCAGCAATGGATGCAGAGATTGTGTTAAGACCACTTATGGATTTCTTGGACAAAACGTAAGTTTTCTATCTGGTTTTATCTTTACTGGTTGCCAGAAATTCCTAAATTCTACTGATTAGGTAGAAAAAAAAATGCTCTGTTTCATGTATGACAGCTTTAAAAGGACTTCCATGGAAACAAATTAATTTATTAAGGAATAACTCACTTTTAACTTATTCTATACAGTAAAGGGAAAAATGAGAAGAAGTAAATGTTGGTAGCTAGGATGTTGCTATTCTACAGCAAAGAGAGATTTAGAATTCCATTTTCCTCAGATAACATTTTTTTTTGCATTCTCCTGGACGTAGAAAAAGACAGAATTGAGTCCAGAGTATCTGAGTTCACTTCATGTCATGACTTCTGCTGAAGAAGAAAATAACACAAATGTGACTAGAATGAATTCAGCTGAGAGGCAAACAGACAGCTGCCTGACCCAACCAACAGTAACTATTCACTGAATGCCTATTGGCATCAAACCTTATTCCCTATTCCAGGTGCTGGAAAGTGATGAGAAAGAGAATCAAATCCTTGGTGCCATGAGGATTTCAATCTTGTAGTGGTGGGAGTGGGTGGAATGGAGGCCTTAATGACAAAATAAGACAATGTTCTTAAACAAAACGGTTGGATGGTTCATTAGTTGGTTGGTCTGTTTGTATTTTTATTGTTTCTTCTCTGTCCCTGCTCTAGTTTTAGTAAGTTTGAGGTAGAGATCCAAGACACTTATATTTTTAAGCATATCACAATTAGGAATCATTGGTCTAAACAACCAGAGATATGATGTCATGAACAGGGATGCAGGTTGATCATCCCTCATTCAAAAGTCTGAAATCTGTAATGCTCAAAATCCTACAATTTTTGACTGCTAACATGACTCAAAAAGTTTCAGATTTTCTGGGACTGGGGATGTAGCTCAGTGGTAGAGTACTTGCCTAGAATGTATGAGGCCCTGGGTTTGATCCCCAGCACTTAAAAAAAAAAAAGTGTTTCAGAATTTGGAGCACTTCAGACTTCAGATTTTTGTCTTAAGCATGCACAACTGGTAAAGCCTTTGAAAATACTCCAATGTTTAAAAAACAGTGATAGTCCCAGGCATTTCAGGTGAGGTATCCTCACCCTTTTACTCAAAACCAGAACTCAAAGTAAAAGAGAAAAATAATTTGAAAACCTATGGAAGGACCCATGTCACATATGGCAGATTATGTATGTTATCTTATTTATTGTTGTGGCAAATTTATAACAAAATGCCAAGATTAAAAAGGAATGTAATACTCTTCTTTGAAGACAAAGCCAGTAGTGTTAGTAGGGAGAACCTCTTCTGTACATTTATGACTTCTGTTTTAGTTCCACTTTCCTTTCATTATAATATACTTCATCTATAAGACTAATGTTCTTATCAATTCAGTTTCAATATTTGATAGAAAAAGCAGTCTTATTCTTTGTTCTCTATGGGGAAATCAGTGAATGGGTAGGTGAATAGGCAAGTGTACATAAGAAAGAAGAAAAGAATGATGAAAAATGAAAGGCAGAAAGAGAAAGAATTTTCTTCCTGTCTTTAGTTCCTTAATGCAGACTTTTACCACATTGTTGTCCCTTATTCTTCACATTATATAGTCCCTACACATTCTCTTGAAAATTTTATCTCATAGTTGGGCATGGTGGTACATACCTGTAATCTTGGCACCTGGGAAGCTGAGAAAGGAGAATCATGAATTTGAGGCCAGTCTGGGCTACATAGTGAAACCCAGTGTCAAAAAAACAAACCTGCCCAAAAGAAATTCATTGTGTTACATGACTCTCTTCTTGAACAATACAAAACTGAATCACTATAAGCACGGGCATTTGGTTGTGAATGCAGTGGTAAAGGATGGCAGGAAGGCCTTTCATTTACAGAACTCCAGCCAGTAGTTTGGAGACAAATAATGTTTTAATGGTAAAACTATTTGTTTTATATATTCTGTAACTGAAATTCATGGACCATACAGAAAGTTGAAATAATCCTGACACTTCCAACAGCAGGCTGAGTGACTTTGAATCCATGTTACCACCTGCAAAATAGAGTACAAGAAAAAGTAAGTTGACCCTTATTGTCAGTGCATTTAGATTCTTACTTTACTCAATCCTAATTTTCTACTTGAATTATACTAATTACATTATCATATATGCTACTTTTTAATCATTCTTAGTAGAAAGAGGTTAGACAGAAAAGAATCCATAAGTTTTAAAAATGTGTGAAAGTGACTTATTTACTTAGTTACATACTTTGATGGTTCTGGTGTTTGAACTCAGGGCTTTGTGCTTGATAGGTAAGTGCTCTACCACTTGAGCCATGTCCCATCTCTTTTTGTTTTAGTTATTTTTTCCAATAGGGTCTCACTGTTAAGGCCTGGGCCAGCCTGAACCACTCTGCTCCTATTTGTACTTTCTGCACAACTGGGATATCAGGCAAGTGCCACCATGTCCAACTTTTTTTTTAAATTGGTTGGAATGAGGGGTGGGGAGTCTCACTAATTTTTCCCCTCTAGTCTCAAACTCTGATCCTCCCAATCTCTGCCTCCTGAGCAGCTATGATTATAGATATGAGCCACCATCCTGGGTGACTTAATTTTTGGGTCTTTTTTTTTTTGGTTCTTGGGCTTGAACTCAGGGCCTATACCTTGAGCCACGCTGCCAACCCTTTTTTTTGTGATGGGTATTTTCAAGGTAGGGTCTCGTGAACTATTTGCCCAGTCTGGCTTCCAACTGCAATCCTCCTGAGTTGCTAGGGTTACAGGCATGAATTGCCAGTGCTTAAAATTTTTTGAAAGAGGTATTATATGTGACAAGGAAAATTGCAGAAATTCTCACAACTAATTCAGAATATATTTAAAGCCATGGTTTGGAGGAGATAGTTAAAAAGCCAGATACGTGTCTGTTTTCAAGGGGCTAATTTAGGAGAAGAAATAATAAAGGAACACAAATACACATAAAAAGCATAAAGTGATCTCTCCACACAGTAAGAAGAAATTTCATTTGGGGTAGGTATTTAAAAGTGGATAGGACCTGAATGTGTGGAAATGAGAGCAAAGCATCCCAGGGGGAGAGAAGAGACCTGGGTAAATTTTCATGAAAATGTGATCAATTATATAACAGGAAGTCCTTATTGCCTGTGACATTTGAAATTGTCTGGTTAATTGGTTCTACGTTCAGCTAATCTAGATAGCACAGGTTGTAAAATATATGCTTTTTGGCTGGCAGTATCAAGTTAGTTAACCCTGACTGTATTAAGGAAGCAGTTGCTAGATTTCCCTTTTATTTTCTATTATTTAAAATAAACTCTTGGATGCTGATAGTATTCAAGATGGTTTTGAGAAAATCCCCTCTGAAATCACAATATTTTATAAATGCATAGACTCTCTTTTTGCAGCCTCTCTAAATAAAACATTTCTTCATCAAGATCCCACTGTTCCATAAAATTAACTGTATACTCCATTTCCAACTAGCAGAAACCCCAAGAAGAGCTGCAAACATGTCCCTGATTTTACTCCTTCCAGTCCGAGCAGGGTTATTTAGCATGCCAAGTACGTGAGCTAACCACAAAAGCGATCAATTCTTAAACTCAGCCCATTCGAAAGTGGACCTCACATGTCTACAGCAAAACTGGCAGATTTGTTGTGTCTCAAGTCATTCTAGGACTATCTCTGAGGGTACCCTTTGCTGTTCTGCTGGCTTCTACTCTGTCTATGCCATGAATATTCACCAGCAAGCTAGAAAAGCTACCCCCCAACAGTGGTTTCCAAGCTACCAGAGCTGAAGTTCCATGAGTGTGCCTCAGGGTCTTCATCTACAGGAGGATGTTTTCATGTATTTTTATATATTAGGTTTCAATATAAAATAGTGTTAGTAGAAACACTTCTACATGAAAATATATCTTGGAAATCTGTCTTTTGCATATCACATGCCTTTAAAGAGTAACTGAAATATGACATGATTGTAAAAACAGGGACCATCTGGGGTGGGGAACAGTAGATAGGATGAGAAGGGATATATATATATATATATATGTATATGTAAAACAATGAAACCCACCAAAATCTATTATAAAGGAGGGGAAAATAAAGAGTGAGTATACATATAATTAGGTTAAAATGAGTAATATAGATGGTGTGAATTTGATGAAGGTACATTCAACACATGTTGTAAATATCACAATGAAACCTCTGTACAATTAACTCATGCTAATAAAAAATTTTTAAAGAGTAGCTTTAAATCTTAATTATTTAAATAGTTGTTATTAATGTTAATTATTGGTGTTAATTATGCATGTCTTTTAGTATGAATAATAGTCAATTCAGCCTGTCGGGACAAGTGCCCAGGTTATCATTTCTGAGCCCAAAAGCAGACAGAACATGAAGGAGAGTCAGTGAGACAGCCCTGAAATGCAGGACCACTCTAGCTCTCAGTGACTATTGCTAAAGGAATCTCAACAAGTCACGTCATGATAGAGCACATTTGACATTTATACATCACTGTGCCTTCAAACATGCTGGGCCTTTTTAGGTGAACATGTTCATCATAGAGAAGGTGGGACTTAGAAAAAGACAGCCTGACTTTGAATCTCACCTTCTAGCTTTACTTCTCTAGGCAAACACCCGAACCTCTCTACCCTATGTTTCATTTCTAACATGGTTATAGTAATATGAGAAGTACCTACAACAGCAGCTTCTAAAGAAGAGGCTGTATAAGGGCTTACACAAATTCTGGGTAATGTCATACAGTTATCTCACCGTGAGAGGAACTTGTAAGGAACAACTTAGGCCTACTCAAATTGGTAAATTTTGGTTCTTGGATGAAATGATATCCCTTTGTCATATTGGTTCACTGCCCAATAGTGATAAAAATGTCCTTCCTTGGTGTTTGTCATAGACCACAAACAAGGACATTTAGCAGTACCAGGGATGAAGGTGAAAGTTACATACTTTGGGAACCTTGATTTTTGTTGCAGTGAGGAATCTGCCCTCTGCTCCAATACTGGGTGAAAAATATTGGTCTTGCCTTCTTCTTCTTAACCAGTCTGTCAAACCCTAGTAACTAATCTCAGATATTGCCCTTGTCATTTCACATATGAATAAAGACATCCTTTGCCTTTAAATGTATTTTTACTCTGTATGCTTTAAAAGGTGTTTTTCTTAGGGAATAATATAGGAAATAAATTCTCTGATCTCATTTTCTACCAAATACAGTGAATTATCTCATGCATAGTATGATTAAATATTTTTGATATTATATATCTTGTTCAGCAAACAGAACTTAGCCTTTAAAATTATAGAAATTTTTCAGGTATTTGGGTCTTAGTAGTTAATTTGAAATTTCTGATTGAGTTACTTGGTATGTTGATGAGATTTAAAAGTGACTATGTCTAATATTATTTCAGATTAAGTCTCTCAGCAAAAATTTGTGAGAAAACAGTCCTGAAGCGAGTTTTAAAAGAGCTATGGAAACTAGTTCTTAACAAAATAGAAAAGCAAATTGTTCTCCCTCCTCTGACAGATCAAACAGTAAGTATTTAAAGTGTATTTGACTTTCAATATCCCATCTAATTATCCTTTGTTTAAATGAATAGTTTTGATCCAGATGAAATACTAATTAAATCAATTTTAGGGGAAAAAAAGGTTGTAATAATGTGAAAAATGAAAGTTTCTAATATACAATTGCTTTACAATGATTGACCAAATTAAATTTTTCTATCCAAATGAATTTTAAATAGAGTTAATGGCAGCTAACTGGCACATTTGCTTTCCAACGTTCATCTCTTATTAAATGTGTCAAAGTTCAATTTGTAAGTTATATGGTCTACATATATAATTTGTAATTTAATTTTACTGTGAACCTACAGAGAAATAGAATTAGGATAGAAGATAGCCAATGTATTTCTTTCTTACATTTTATAGCTTACAAAGATAGTTCCAACACTGCAATATGGAATCTTTTTCACCTTTCCATTATGCTTTCATCTGTTACCTCCCCACTTGGACATTAATGGAGAAGACATTAGTGGATTTGAAGAACATGGTTGTATCACACACAGCAAAATGAAAGAGAACCAGAAAGCTCAATTGACAGCAAAGTTAGAGGATGGTCAAGTGGCTACACAGAGCCAGACGTTCCCATTCATGTGTCCTTAGGCAAGCAAGAAAAAAAATAACAAGCAATAGTTATGGAGTAATTGATATCTTTTTCCATGACTGAGGAAGATAAGCTCCTACAAATAATGAATAATTATACACTAAACTAAAATGCATATTGACACCATTAATTATGCATACTCAGTCCTTACTTATCTACTGGAATTTTATAAATTATTTTTATACAAAGATGTATGTATTTTAGTTGATTTATTGCCAGTGATCAATAAAATCTAAATTTACTTTAAGTTTTGTTTAATGCAAAAACTACATGCCTTAATTTTATGTAACCCACATGTATGGGTGGCAAATTGCATATATAAATACACAAATACACAAACATACTCTAATGCAGTACATAATACATCTCTGAAACACCAGTTAGGTTTCATGTAATTGAGCCATAGGCGAATGATAACAATATAATCTGGACATTGGACTGGTGTATATATGAATTTCCCTTGGTCAGAAGTTCTGGAATATAATAGAAGTGTAACTTCAGCAGAAAAGGAAAGATCTCTCACCTTGGCTACTGCACAGACCTATTTTAGAGGAAAATAAAGGGAGAGAACCTACACATAGACTCACTCTCCAGAAAGATATACTGCAGAGGATTGCACCCTCGGCAGACTCCCACCCCCTACCCTCTTGATGCTTGGAGCTCCCTCACAATTTTATTCTGCTGCTTTGATTGATTGATTGATTGATTGATTATTGCATTGTTCGGATTTGAAACTCAGGACCTCGCACTTACTAAGCAAGTACTCTACTGCTTGAGCCACACCTCCACACCCAGCAATTATTATTTTTGATACTTCTTTGGTAATGAAATTATATAAGTTTTGATGCCCTTGTCCACTGTTATTTTTGACATAAGCCTTAATAGTTTTAGTACACAATTTTTTAAGAATATGAGATGTATATCATGTCACAGCAGAAATGTTTCATATAGCATTTCATTCTCTATGTAAGGTCTTTCCTAGTATTGAGATCTCCACATGTGAACCTAACTCATTCAGTCATTCATTCATTTCTTCATTGAATAAATAGTCTTTGTGCTTCTAATACTGGGCACTGTGCTAGGGTCTGGCAATAAAATACGATCAAAATTAGCCATGGTACACGTGAACTAAACAGAACTTTCTCAAAAGAAGAAATTCAAATGGCCAGAAAACACATGAAAAAATGCTCACCATCTCTAGCAATAAAGGAAATGCAAATTAAAACCACGCTAAGATTCCACCTCACCCCTGTTAGAATAGCCATCATCAGCAATACCACCAACAACAGGTGTTGGCGAAGATGCGGGGGAAAAAGGAACCCTCTTACACTGTTGGTGGGAATGTAGACTAGTACAACCACTCTGGAAAAAAATTTGGAGGCTACTTAAAAAGCTGGACATCGATCTACCATTTGATCCAGCAATACCACTCTTGGGGATATACCCAAAAGACTGTTACTCCAGAGGCACCTGCACACCCATGTTTATTGCGGCACTATTCACAATAGCCAAGTTATGGAAACAGCCAAGATGCCCCAGCACTGACGAATGGATTAAGAAAATGTGGTATCTATACACAATGGAATTTTATGCAGCCATGAAGAAGAACGAAATGTTATCATTCGCTGGTAAATGGATGGAATTGGAGAACATCATTCTGAGTGAGGTTAGCCTGGCCAAAAACCAAAAATCGTATGTTCTCCCTCATATGTGGACATTAGATCAAGGGCAAACACACAAGGGGATTGGACTATGAGCACATGATAAAAGCGAGAGCACACAAGTAGGGTGAGGATAGGTAAGACACCTAAAAAACTAGCTAGCATTTGTTGCCCTTAACGCAGAGAAACTAAAGCAGATACCTTAAAGCAACTGAGGCCAATAGGAAAAGGGGAACAGGTACTAGAGAAAAGGTTAGATCAAAAAGAATTAACCTAGAAGGTAACACCCACGCACAGGAAATCAATGTGAGTCAATGCCCTGTATAGCTATCCTTATCTCAACCAGCAAAAACCCTTGTTCCTTCCTATTATTGCTTATACTCTCTCTACAACAAAATTAGAAATAAGGGCAAAATAATTTCTGCTGGGTATTGGGGGGGGAGAGGGAGGGGGCGGAGTGGGTGGTAAAGGAGGGGGTGGGGGCAGGGGGGAGAAATGAACCAAGCCTTGTATGCACATATGAATAATAAAATGAAATAAATAAATAAATAAAAAAAAATAAAAATGAAAAAAAAAAAAAAAAAAAAATTAGCCATGGTTGTTGTTCTCCAATGACTATATACTCCACAATACAATGGGAATGTAGAAAGTGTTAGTTCAGGATAGCTGATTTTCCTTACTATGAAAATATTCCAAGCTACTAAAGAATTTGGCCAAATTTAGTGCTCTTCCAGTCACATGTACATACCATTCCTCCATCTTTCAATCTAATGTGCTCTGAATGATTTATTACAGTGTTTTGCTTTTTTTCCTCCAGGGCTTTGAGTCTCTACAGAAAGCCTTTAGCTGAGGGAAAGATTAAGAAGTCAGATTTCTTGATAGATTAGACAGCATTTTAGGAAAAACAGCTTTACCTTTTCCAGCGCTAGTCTTAAATTTCTACAGAGATTTACTTTGGGTGTGTAAAGTGAGGGAGTTGCCTCTGCAAAAACCAATTAAATAAAAGTTTAATCCGTATGGTGCATTAAACAGGTTACATGAGTGCAACCCATTCTCTCAGAAGTGGAACACCTATGAGAACTCTTATGTTGCAGGTATACCCGACTATCTTTGTCCCTTCTTTACAACATACCCATTAAGAGCATGTGACATAACAACCAAAATGCAAGAAGGGATATAAACAAAAGTCTCTATTAGTTACTTTTCCACTCTGCCTAATACTAAATATCTTGAGACTGAGTCTTCTTTTTCTTTTTTCTCTGTGTTTCTAGGGACCTCAGATGATTTTCATTGCAGCTAAAGATCTCGGACAATTATCAAAGTTGAAGGTAATAAAAATAAGGAAACCATTTGCTGGTGAAAAGTAATGAGCTAACTACAGCTCTGCAAGAAGCCATCCTTCTACTAGTAATGGTTTCTAGCATGACAGGATTAAGAAGACATATGTTTGATCTCACAGTCTCTTTAAGAATTTCTTACTTTGTAGTGTAGCCTTCAGCATTATTGTTTCTGGAGCAAATTAGAGAATATATTTTCTTTTATCTACTAAACTGATTTTGTATGGACAAATCAAAATGAACCACTGCATAGAAATCTGGTGAAGTCTAGAGAAGTCTTAAGTCAAAACAAAAACATGATATAGGAAAATGAAACTTGTCAAAGTGGGCATTAACCTTGTCACCATGTTCAACCTCATTATATGTGGGAATTACTTGGAATTTACAAAATGTTGAATTTATACTGGGAAGCTTGTTCTCTATCTCTCTAGAATAGGACCTTGGCTTACTAAAATACAATTTTCATTCTATTTCTACCTACTAGACTATAACTAAGGAGATGGGTTCCAGACACAGGTGACCTTGGTTCAATATTTTCCAAACTATGTGATTTAAGCCAAATCATTTAACCTTTCTGTGTTTTAGCTATGACATTTTGTAAAATGCAGGAAATTTCAACACTTAGTTCACAGAATTGTTGTGAAAATACATAATATTATCTTTGCTTTGTAACTACAAAGAGTGTACTACCTCCTACTTACAAAGAGAGCTACATTCATTTGGCCCCAGCTGGTTTGTATCTACAACACAGAGGAAGAGATAATCAACTTGCATAATAACTGAGGAAAAGATGTGCCTTATCCTATTTCATCACCTATATTATCTCCTTCCTCAGGAAAAAAAAACTAAAATAATCCATCTAGAAAACATAACTGTCACCTAAAATTGTTTCTCACAGGTGTTCAGAGCTGTTGATGGTTAAAAGGAAAGAAAAAGGTAGATATTACTACCAAACTATTGTTTTCAATCATGGATCTCTCTCCCTTTCTTTATTATTTTTATTGTCAGCTTGGGATTTCTGGATTCTACCTTGAGAAATAATTTATACAGTGCCAAAGTTTCTCATGTAAAACCATGAAGATGAAAAAGCATAGATCTCATTGTAAAAAAATTAACCCTGACCATGTGTCTAGCACCTGTGTGATGTTGTCCAGTACACTCCATTTCCCCAGGCTTCTGTTTCATGAATGTTATAACAGCTATAACTGCTTCTGTTTCAAGTGATAGAAACCCAGCTAACATAAGCAAAGAGGGAACTTATTGTTACATGAAATTTTATAGTCCAGGGCTAACTCTAGCTTCCATGATTGCTTGATTAGGGATTCAAACAATGTTTCAAGACCCAGTAACTCACTATCTCTCAACTCTGCTCTTCTTGTTGGATAGATTGCCACAACAAACTTTCCTGCTTGCCTGTAGGATGGTTGTCTCTAGTTTATATCCTTTGAACTTTAAATCTTGTAGAAAAAAACACCCAGCTCAGTGTCAGGCTTCCCATAAAGTCTACTGATACATCATTGGCTCTGAGGGGTTGTTTTTACCACTTCTAAGCCAATCACTATAGCCTGGGAAAATGACATAGGCCAGTTGGCTTTATTCATATATCCAACCCTGAACTGGGGCATGCAGTAAACTCTGTCTAAACTTTATGAACTCAGAGTGAGAGAGAGGTAGGATTCCCAGTGATTACATGCTTTGGGGCTGGAAAATTAAGATACTATAGAAATGTAACACTTTAGCACCCTTTGTAACCTCCTTCCTAACTTTTTGCATTTTGGTGAATTCTCTTTTTTCTTCTCCTTCTCTATTATTTTCTTCCCTTTTTTTTCTTTTTCTTTTTCTTTTTCTTTTTTTTTTTGTGGTATTGGGGTTTTAAACTCAGGGTCTTGTGTTTGCTAGGCAAGCACTCCTTGAACCATGCCCCCAGCCATTTTTTGTTTTTAGTTATTTTTCAGATAGGGTTCCAGGCTTTTTGTCTGGTCCAGCCTCAGACCACCATCCTCCTACCTATGCCTCCCACACAGCTGAGAGTACAGGTGGGCACCACCATTCCCACTTGCTCTTTGAGATGGGTTCTGAATAACTTTTTTGCCCAAGTTGACTTTGAACCAAGTTGTCACTATCTTTGCTTAGGATTACTGGCATCAGCCACCCCACCCAACTTGGTGAATTCTCTTTTAATTCCTAAAGGTAAACTATGAATAAAATTATCTAAAAGAGTAATTTCCTCAGGGTAGGAGAGTAAAAAAAAAAAGTTATTTCTTCAACATTGAAATAATCTAAATGATTAAAGATAAATCTTGTTGTTCATAGGTAATGAAAAGACAACTTAGTTCTGGACCAGATTATTATTGACCATTGGTTTTCTTTTATTTTTAAATTATTAATCCATTATTGTTTGAGTTACATATCTACAAATCTACAATCTTATACACAATATGGAAACTGCAGCTGGCACAAAGAACTTCACATTTAACAAAGCTCATTGCTCCTATTTTACTAGAATGTTACTTCCTTTTTAAAAATTTTTAAACTGCTTTAAAGGTTTAATATATTAGTTTGAAAGCAAATTTAACCTACAGGAAAGGTATTATTTGAAATAATTATACTGATGAATAATTTCAGAACTCCTACACATATAAATATTAAAAGATGACTACCTTACTTAAAAGAACTCAAGATCAAGAAAAATAGAGCAATGTGGGGAACTAATTATTTCTCTGCATTTGGGTATGGTTTAGGATTCATTCATTAAACAAGTACTTACATTACTATTTAATGGGATCAATTTATTTGACATAAAAGTAAATTAAATAAGTCTATAAGCCTTTGTAGACTGTTGATACCATATCAAAAATACTTGATGAAATTCACCTCAGACTGAGAGTTGACTATGAGCCTTTTATATGGCCAATAAATCATTGGTGACTTTTTCCAGAGACCCCTTTATTTGAATGAGCTATTGCTAAATTCCAGAAAGTTATTTTGAGCAAGAATTATATTTTTATAGGCTAACATATTTATTAGTCTTTATTAAAAATAATGTGACTACCTTGTAATAATAGTAAAGATTGATGAAACCAGAGAGATTTGCTTAGTATATTTGTATTTACTTGTCATAAAGCATTTCTTCCTGTAATTTAGCAAATATTCCTATTACTCTGTGAGTTTTGATGTGTATTTAATATTGCTGTTTTAAAAAGTATTAAATAAATTCTTATGGTTAAGTTGAAACTCCTGTGTCAAAGGAAGATCATCATGGATCCATGCAACACTACTTCATGTTTGTTTGTTTTTTAACAATATTCAAAGACAATGATTCCACTTAAGGGGATTGAACCCTATGAAATGCCAAAAGAACTACCTTCAATTACCATAAATATATTGAGGGACTAGCAGGTGACAGTTGCCAAGGTAGATCCTGAAAAGTGGAAGAAGTAAGTGAGACATAGATTTGGATTATCTACAGGAAGTCATGCCATCCACGAAATAATAGAGTAAAAAAAGGGGCAGAATTGAAGGATGAGCCTCTAGATATGATTACATGAGCTGTGCATTGCACCAAAGTGCTCAGCTAAGGAAGTAAGAGAAGGCCACAATCAAATCCATGTTCTACTTACCAAGCCATGTGTGCTGAATTGAAGCTATACTCTCATTGGAAAAGAGACACTAAAGGCACTGATCTATTAAGCCATGCATTCTCAGAATTGTGTCCACACATGGGACTTTTCCTCTAATTCACACAGAAGCACACACACAAATTGGAATTAAGCAGTCTCTCTCAATCACCTAGTATGGTGTAAGCATATAATAAATAATAAATGTGTGTTAAATGGTGTTTAATATAGTAGTACAACCCTGGGGAGATTGTATCAATTTGTAAGGTCAAGATTTTCTTTAAAAAAAGTTTTCTCTTAGACAAATTTTACTTTTCTTTATTATTTTCTCTAACTTTCCCTAAATAAGCTTTGAGACAGACCTCACTGAACCATTGGAGAAGTCAATAGTAAAATAATGAAATCAGTTATAAAATATTAACATGATTATAAAAGAATGAAAATATCCACAAATTCTGTTAGTTTTTTGGATAACTTCCTGGTAATGAGCAAATAGTTTGGTGGTCTGAGGAAGAGAATTGGGGAAGGGGGACATTACACTTAAAGTAGACTGTCTCGGTAATAATTGTAGAGACTGAAATTCACCCCCTAAATCTCTTCCATGTTTAACATTTCTCAATATGACAGCTTGCAAAGCAAGGAATTAAGATGACAAGGCTTTGACACACATTTTTTCAGGTTTGTCCTCTTTTTTCAACATTAACTTGTGACAATAAAGGCACACCTCTGTAAAAGATCTGTTTTTAAGTGGACATTTAGTATGTCTTCCTCTAACAGAATGGATATTTATTAAATATATGACAAAAATAATCATTTAAATGCATCAATATAAAGAAGATATTTCAAACAGGAAATGTTTGTGTGTGGAAATTCTGCAGAATTTTTGAGAGTAGTTAAATAAGTGAACTGATTATTTTGTAAGCAGCTGTTAACCTGTTTTTCAGGAGCACATGATTCGAGAGGATGCCAAGGGTCTGACGCCAAGACAGTGTGCTATAATGGAGGTGGTCCTGGCTACCATCAAGGTAAGGATATATACCCCCAGAAATGTACCCCTGTCTTAGCATTCCTAGAGTCAGGTACCCCCAAGGTATGTCAGAGATAATTGAATAGATTAAGCCAGCCTATCTCTTTCTTATACTCATGTTACAATGTTTTTATACTTTGTTGCATTGACTTTCTCTAAAAAATGTGTACAAAACTTATGTTGTAATACACATTTTTCACAAAAAGACATATCCCTAAACCCAAGGTAAAAAGGAGGTTTTAGGTTAATAGAATTTGTATTTATGTTTTCTATGCTATTTGAAATTATTTTTAAAATACCAACCTTCTCTCCTTCTAGTCTTTCTTGGTAATATAAAAATTTTATTTTATTTTCTGCTAGAACTAAGAAACCTTGTGCTGTGTGCATTCATATTTAACAACCAAAGTTTGACCAGAAGTTATTATAGTGTGAGTTAAGTGTGTACAAGTTTCAAGATGTAACTTAGAAGTTCTTTGCTTCATTTTACATTTATGCATATATTTTATATTTATCTATGAACTATATTAAAGTATAAGAAAAACTTATTTACCTTCTAATGCAAACTATGTCCAGTGTTTCTAGTCTTCACTGGAAGAAGCATCTTATTATTCAGGATGTATGAACAGTACAATGAAGAACTGTTGGCTACTATGAGTCATTTGCAGAACACAGATTCCCATTGGATGGAAACACACATTACAATGGAATTTATAAATGTAGAGTTCTTCCTGAATAACAATTGCATTCCTTCTCAAAACTATCACCAGATAGATTTTGTTTTACACTTTCTGCATTTAAAGTGAGGCTATCTTTGCTGCTGCATTAGTGTTGAAAAACACAAAATGAATGTTATGAGAGATTTTTATGGCACCTTGTGGCAACTGGGGAGCATGAGTATAGGCAGTGAGATTACAGAAATGGAGTTTCAAATGAGGGAGCAAGAATTCTGTCTGGAAATATGGTATGTTGCAAATTTTTTTTATCACGTTCCATATTGAACTCAGGGACTTGCACATGCTCTGCAAGAGAACTATCACTCAGCTATTTTCCAAGAACTTGTTTTTTATTTGTTTATTTTGAGACAGTGTCTTACTACGTAGCCCAGCCTGGCCTCAAACTTGAAATCCTCCTGCTTTTTGCCTCCTGAGTGGTGGGGTTATAAACATGAGCTGCCACACTCAGCACTGCAAAATAATATTAAGGAAAAATGAACAACATAGAAATATAGGGAAAATGCAAAGTTAATTCTCTTCTAAAATTTTAAAAAATTTGAGCAAGAATTGACTTATCTATGGAGTCATAGGAATGCTATTGACTATGTATAGGAAATTCTAGGAAAAGGAAAAAGTTCTAGCATATACTCCAAAAAAAATAAAGTAAAATTTTTAGAATTTGAATTCAGCCCCCTCATGGATTTTATTAGAACAATGCATGATCTTAGATGAGGAAGTAAAACGTGTTCTATGGAAATGAGTGGCATTCAATGTATTGACCACCTGGCTTCTGCCTCCAACCCCAGAACTTCTCTAATTATTCTTTGTGGGACCACATGACCACCACCTGCAGGCTGAGTTCTCCCCCAAACTGTGAGGCAATCCTGATCTCCAAGTACATCCCCTTGATTCACATTTTGACATCTCAAATACACTTTCATCCCTCTAAGGTGACCTGTGAAAATCTTTTAAATCAGTCTCAATTGCCAGACCCTTACCTTGTTCTATGGGGACAACATGCTATCTGGTATTTCTGATCTAGTAAATGAGCCCATGTCATTGTCTCATTCCTTCAGGACTAATGCTTGACTCTGGTCCTCCTGAGCTGTAATCAGGTCCCAGTTCCCTAATTTCTTTGATGCTAGTTCTTTCTCTAGGGACCTCCAAGTTAGGATGGCTGTGCCTGCCAGGAAATTCTCTTGACCATGTGGTCTACCCATCTGCTAAGTTTCTCACCTGAAATTTGCATGTAGGGCCTCTGTCATCAGTGTGTGAAAGCTGAGACTCCTTTCAGCTTGTCTGCCTCTGATATTTACCCCACTGACCATCCTACCAAGCACTAATTCTGATGTGGTCTACAAAGACATTCAGGAGAAGGAGAAGCACTGCATAACAGAGTTGTAACTTTAAGAAATAAAGATTAATTGTCTGCCTGGAGCCTAGCAAAGAGAGCACCATAACATAGAGACTCATGAGAAAGGTTCTTAGACCAAAGTGGCCAGTACCACAATTCTAATTCCCAATGGCTGCCAAAGAGATGATCCTTAATTCTTCCTTAGCTCACTTCAATCAAATTAGCTAGAAATGAGAAACAGAGAGATGATGAAGGAGAATGCCATAGCAGTAGTTTGTAGAATAAAGACAGAAATAGTGTTTTGCATTTGTCAAATCTTTCTGATGTAATGAGATTACATCACCTGATCCATTGAAACATCTTACATGATAGATAAGTCAAGAATGATCATTCAGATCTGGGGGTATGACTCAACTGGTAGAGCGCCTGCCTAGCAAGTGTTAGTCCCTGAGTTCAAACCCCGTTACCGCCAAAGGAAAAGAAAGAGAGAAAGGAGTTCAAACTCTAAAGGCAGTGTTCTTGGTTCTTTGTCACAATATTTCACTAATGTTAACTATGTTAATTATAATGTAGCAGGCCAAAATGGATAATATTTCTTGAGAGGGATTGCTTCTTTCTATATTAGAATGCCGTATTTCAATTACTTATTTTCTAATTATTTAATAATGTAAATATTTCACTGCTATATAAGCGTAACTATGAAATAGTCTCCAAAAAACTTAAGCCTTAATTGAGCTACAACTATTTTCATACCAGTTGTATGTAGTTTCAATTATAAATCAAGAGTAGATAATATGGCAGAAGCAATAGAAATCATGATTACATGCTGCAGATAAGATTGTTGGGCTTTGACACATTTCATTCACCTGCTAGAGCAGCCAAAGCCATAGCTTTTAAAATTAAAGCAGTAAGGTCACAGCTATGAGACAGATAACCAACAACCTTTTTAGAATGCACAAAGAAATGGAGAATCTAATAGAGGACCTCTATTTTTATTAAGGTGTACTAATTTGACTTTTGAGTCCTAGTCCCCTATCTCATGAATACTCAGAACTACCATGGGATCCCTGAAATGTGGGTTTCTTTCAAAGAGAAACAAGAGCTCTTTTCCCAAAGCAGCTATTCTGACTTGAACTTGAATAAAAAAACTGAAGAAAATTATTCCATCTTGATTAATCCTCAAATTATTTTATGATGCTGTGTGAAGCACACATAAAAATGCTAGCTGTTTTGACTTTCCCCTCCTTTCCAAATTCCTTCAGATCATTCCTTATATGAACCTGATTATTACATGTTACATGACGTGCGTGTGGATGTACTGGACATTAGATAGAGGCAACAAAGAGGTTGTTCTAAAAATAAGAGACGTGGGTTAGGTCTTTCTAGAAATTTCCATTTCTTAGTATGAAGGAGGGAATTTAAATAGGAATTCAAATATAGTTTTGAAGGTTGCTTATTCCTTATTCAATCCTAGATAACACCTTTCTTTATACTCAAGATTCTAAGAGAATAGCTGAATATGGTTTGAACCACATATTATGCCTCTGAGTTTCTTACCCTGTTATCCAATGTGCAATGTGCTGCTTCTCAGAACCTTCTTTTTTATCACTATAAGTTTAGTTTTTGCATTTAAACTTTCGCTGCTCATGAGAAAGCCAAAATAACCTACTCAGTTTGCAATATTATAATTCAAAATCATTATTTGAAACCTTACTATATGTAGAAAGTACAGTGAATGATGAAGAAATACACAGAGATGAGAGGTCTTGCCTTTTACTCAGGAATAAAAACATGTTACAGTCAATAAAATGAAAGTTTTTTTTTTTTTGCTGAGGACATAAAGAAGGTGATGAATTTTCTCTGGGTGTGTAGGGTAAAGGCTCCCCAGAGAAGGGTGTTTGGGACTTAGAGGGTGAAGAAAGACAAAACTATGAGAGAATGGCATTGTAGGTCAAAAGAAAAAAGCATATGTGATATGAGAAAAGGTTATCATCAGCCTGAAAATGTCAACTGGTGGTATGGTAGAGAAATAAAGCATAAATGGCTGAGTATCCCAGGGAACACAAGAGGAACATTGGATTCAAATCAGAATGCTGAGGCTTAAACACCAAGGCAGAGAATCAACTTTAGTATGTCAACAAAGAGACAATACTAAAATATGTTAAGGGAGAAGTAGCATATTCTGTCTGATATATAAAGGAGTTATCTATTTGTAGTGAAATATAATTTTTGAATATCAAATGATTTCTTTAAAAAAAAATTCCAGTAATTAAGAGTGCATAATGCTTATACCTAGTTTTCAAAATGAATTATCTGAGTGGATTTGCCAATAGTATAATACAACCATTTGAAGTTAAAAAAAAAAAGTGTGATGGAAGATTGCTACCAAAATAACCAAAAAGGAAATCCTTCTTGCAAACTTATAAAAAATTAGCTTGTTTCCCGTTAGTAAAATAAATTTTAAAAGATCACTAATATATGACAAATATGAAGAATTTAGAGAATTTTATCGGGATTGTAAAAAGGAATGGCTTGCTAAGCATGTAGACAATATTTATACTGCTATTTTATTTAGCAGTACTGTTTTCTTCTCACAAATCACAGCCAAGTCTGAAGTGCTTTATTTTTTGGTTTCATGAAGACTATAAAAAACAGAAAAAAATGTCTCCAGTTATTTTTCAAAATATGAAAATGGTACTTCTTATATAGCTCTTCCACCCCCAAGTCAGATCTAACAGCATTACTCAGCACCTATCCTGATGTGAATGAACCAGTATATTAATGTGTCTTGGATGAAACCTTTATCAATGTCAGAAGATGGATACACATGTAAGTATGAATAAAATATTTGAAATTATGTGGGAAATTATACCATTGGTAAATGCAGCATCAAAATAGCAGGTGATTAAGAGAAAGAAAAAGCCGGGCACT